CAAGATGCTGCCAAGCTTGATGAAATCCTTATGGACAAAGGTGACACACCCTTCTCTCCCCTCTGGTCTGTCCTGATGCTGGATGCCTCTGGGAGGCAGATATGGAAAAGAGCAACCCCCCTCTGCACGACCCACCCCGGTCTCTGTTATGCATGCCAAGTCAGCCCTTTCATCCACACTTAGATCAAAGATCAATTGGGTTTTCTTTTGGACTGAATCATTGATTACAGTCAATAGAATCAGTCCATGATTACATTTTATCTTGTGGATGGGTGTGTTTAGAAATTGCAATTTTGCAAGAGGCAGAAACTGATATAGCTAAGAAAAATACTACTCATATTCTGGGCAGTTCACAACATACAATAAAATCACCATGTAATAAATAAAATAAAAATACAGTAGAATACATATGTACATCTGCCACACTACATTATTGTTCACTTCTTAATAATAATTCATGTGTAAGTCACTCTAAGAAAATATTGAAACAAAGGCTATACATTTGAGCAAATAAGATTAATTTTGTTCGTAGTAAATTTTCAGGTCAGTGACTTGAGATACCAAATACATCAGAAAAGGTTCGAGATCTTTAGTTAGCTTCTATCTCTTCCTCTGCCAACTAATTTGCTATCCAATCTTTTGAAATACCAAAGTGCATAATATATTAAAAAGATGCCATCTCACTTGAGATAAATTGGTTCCTATTTGTAAGAAAATATTGCAACCATGCAAAATAAATTCATCTGGGGAAGATGAGGGGATTTCAAGGGGAGAGGAACTGATCTCAGTCTGCCAAACAGTAAAACCACAACGATACAGGAACAGGATCTGGTGTCTCTTCATGAAAGGCTTATGAACATAGGGTCAGAAAATGTCACATTTTAATGTCACAAGATCCAGTGAATAATGATTGTTAGCAGTAACATTTAACAAAACAATGACAAATATTACATTTACAGAGTCCAGTTTTGGAAGCACTCATCATACATTAAATTAAGGAATCTTGCTTACTTACTATTCTGGTATAATTTAGAGCTCCAGAAACATTTTAAGTACATAGACATTTCAGGGTAGCAGTGTACTACATGTGACCATCTTGACGTTGTTATGCCTCATCACTGGCTATGTTGGCTAGGGCTGATGGGACTTGTAACCCAAATGTATTTGAAGGACCAGAGGTTGTACACAGTATTAGTTAAAAAGGAGTAATAGTTTAATTAACTGCTATGAGGTTAATTATGTGTTTTGATAAGAGCTCCTTGATTGAAATGCAGTAGGTGGTAACTGGAGTAGGTCCACTGAATCACAAAAACCTAGATAGGTGTTGGTTCGCTAATTCAGTGGGCCTACTCAATTGTGATTCTCAGCTAGGTTTCTGCCATTAAGAGTTAACTAATTTGTAACTTTTCCCTACTAAGTTTGACATCTGGGGCCATGATCAATATCATCTAGTGCACTGGTTCTTAACCTTGGGTTACTCAGGAGTTTTGAACTGCAACTCCCAGAAGCCTTCACCACCAGCTGTCCTGACTGGGGTTTCTGGGAGTTGCAGTTCAAAAGCATCCGAGTAACAAAGGTTAAGAACCACTGAGTAGTTGACTGGTTATTCTCTGGAAGAATACGTTTTTGTTATTGTTTTCCAAAGAATCAGAGGAAAACCAATCCACAAAACCATGCCAACTATTTCTCCATCATTGGTTCTTTCATTTTATTTATATCTCTCCCAGTAAAGGGTCTCAAGGGGGCTTACAAAAATATTCAGAATAGAAATGCCATTAAAAATGAGTAGCAATCAACACATTACACATAAGAAGCAATTAACACATTACATATTAAAACAAATGAATAAAAACAACCGAAAATCTATTTTAAAATATGATATCCTTCATTAAACCCCTTCCATGGCAGCTAGTCACTTGACACAACACCCTATGCTATACAGATTTTATTTTAAAATGCACGTATTTTAGGCAAGCCACACTGGAAGTGTTGCTGTGTATGAGACATGCAGGTGTGAATAATGCCAGGCCTTCAGGTTATTGTTTGGGACTTACATGGCATTACTTTCCTCATATGACAGTAGCTTGCCAGGACTAAAGGTAGTAGAGCCAAATACGGTGTGCCAGTGAACGTTTTGCAGATGTTACTAGCACTTTTAACTGCTTACCCAAGCTTCTGATTTTTTTTTTCCTATTGATGCAGCATATAATACATGGGGGGTTATATTTCTTTCTTTCTTTCTTTCTTTCTTTCTTTCTTTCTTATTTATTTATTTATTTATTTATTTATTTATTTATTT